TTACGTACAGTGCTTATAGAAACTGCGGTGGTAGACGCAGTCTTGTGAAAGGACAGAAGAGGACAGCACCCCTGCGGTCCCCATTTCTCAGGCTGGTAATTAAAGCCCCAGTAACAAAACAAATTCATGGATGGATTGGACACATTCCAAATTGAGCACAAAACGGTGAAATGTTTTGGCGTGGTATGAGGTTTGAGGAAACTGCCCCACGAACGCCAAGATCCAATCTGAAAATAGGAGAAAAAAAAAGGCAAAGGGAAGTTCTTAACTGAAGCTTGGGAAGGATGATGATAAAGAGCCAATCTCTCCCTACAGTCCTGAATAAGAACCATTACAGACGTTGGGTGTATATACATATTCAGCCATCCATTCATTTTCTGACTATTCCCAAATCAGGATCGTGGGGGGGCTGGAGTCTATCCCAGCAAGCAGCTGGCACAAGGCAGGGTACACCCTGGATGGGATGCCAGTCCACCACAGGGCCACACACACACACCAGGACCAGTTTGTATATATCCATCTCACACACAACGGTCTTACCACCTGATGTATCCTGCCTCGAGCCCATCTCCGTCTTTGCAGTTACTTTCTGGTGAACTCCACCTCTCTGAACAGGGGTTCAAACCCAGGGAGGCATCCCTTAACCAAGCAGGCTAAAGAAAACTTCTTATCCTGCCAAAAATACGCCAAACATTCCCCATGCATCTGCTACTTGGGTGTCTTTACTCCTTGTGAAGTTCGAATACCTGCATCAACCCAGTAACCAACCCCCTGCCTCCGGTTCTGCAGGACCAGTAGTGAAGCCCTAGTTTTCCCCCGCCCCTGCTGACAAATTTACAATCCCTGGCGGCGTCGCTCACGAACATGGCCGGCTCATCGGCTCACCATGCCGGAGTGTGAGAAACCGCAGGTCGCTATTTACCACGCAAGGAAAAAAAAAGAACCATAAAACGAGAAAAAAAAACAGCTGTTATTTATAGACCATGTCATTTGAATCAGCTAGAACCTCGCCGGTCTCTTAATTATTAATGACGGTAGTGAAGATCAGAACATACACAATGTCAGGTGTGCTGCTGTTTTGGAAGACTGTTGTATCCGTTTGTGTGATTTTCACAAACAATAAAGAAATATAGCCACATCCTCGCTTCCTGGGTCATTATTTCTGTCTCTCTATTACCATCGTCTCTCTCTTACGCTTTTAATCGATTTTTAAACCTTCCAAGTGCAGTGTGAATTCAAGCATACGCGGTAGTCTTCAGAGATACTGGAACGCGTTATCCAAGGCAAATAATTTCTCACGTTTATACTCAAAGCCTTTATACACAAAAGCTGAGCTCTGGAACCAACACATTTTTATTTATTTTTTCGCATTTTAAAGGCCTTTCACTATAAATATCACAATCCTTATAAAAGGGTTGTCATGCGAGAAACGTTTTAAAAACCGAATCCTTTCAGTCGGGAAGAGAAAGGACTACGAGGGGTTTTAGTCCGAGTCTGGAAGGAATTGCCCCAGTAAAGCCACACAGCTCCACCGGAAGCCCAAATATAAAAGGGAAAAAATAATATACCAGTGAAAATCTTGTGGTGAAGATCTGGTGTGAGATTCGCGTCTCAATTTGCGCATTATTCTGCTACTCAAATGTGCGCGTAATTTCCCAGGGATCAGAAACGCGCCACTAGGATTGCCCTGGAGATGTGTAGCAGGAAA